TGTAAATGTATTTTGTGACTTGTTTGGTTGCGCGGCACACACAAATATCCAACCCTAGACGCGGAAACAAGTCGCCCTGATTATTTTTATTTTCCTATGCTGATAGCCTTGAGAGGCTATTTCAGCTTCGCTCTAACATGTAGGTGAGCTCACGGGGCTCAAACCGGAAATGTTACTCTAACACTGGCCGTAGCAAGAGCAGTGCTTCGCAGAATTTACCACCAGATCGGAAACGCAACCCACTTAGAAGATCCGGCGAGAAACTCAGTGGGCTATGTCTATGGGTTAATTCGCTCGTCGAGCCCTTCGTCGCAAGCGACGGGTTCAACGAGGACGGTGACCGGTGCTTGTGGTACCTAAAAGCACTTAATGGATCGGGACGATCAGTAATGACATGAACCGCACTGACGTTTTGCATCGGAACTACGCACGATGGAAATGAGTTCTTTTCACTAACCTAATATTATTGTCGTGTCGTACAACCACTTTAACGGGACATAAGACCTACAACGACTAGATATAGACACAGACTAAGACAGACACTTGACAAGAATTCAAAAATAAAGAGAGAGATGGAACGAGGGCGGACGTGACTAGCGGCAGGCAGTTTTTTGATTTCCTAAAAGACGGACACGAACCAGACGACAAGAAAAGAATTGACCGTTCTCATATTATGTGCATAAAATGGACGACAAAAGGACTAACCGACCGTTCAATTATGTTTTACTTAATGATTGTTAAGCATTTAGCAAATTTGTTCTACTGCGAAAAAGGTGGGTAATGTTGGACGTGTGTCATGTTTCTAGATATTATGTTGCTTTGCAATTAAAATTACAATATATTACATGAGTATTTTACGCGTACGAATGTTATTAATTTGTTAGTAAATGGAGGAATTCGTGGTCTAAGAGATAAGTCGCCTGGTAAAGAGTAGAGGTAGGTAGGGTACCAAGCCATGCGACTATGCCGGTACTCACATCCCGCAGACTACAATGCTAATTGTTCTATGGAAATAAGTAGGTACACAATGTGTATGCATGAATGAGATCATGTAATAACATCGTATAATATAATAACAAATACTTCAAGACGTCCGATTAACCTAACTTTGGCTGTTAAACTAACCAATACAACCTTCTTTACTTTAGTTTCTTTTATTGTGTCTACACGGTGTGTGTGGTTTCTTTTTCTAAATAATGTTATTACGTTTATTTAAGTATATCCACATTTCGAATTTTACTGTTATAGCGTGAATAAAGCTATATCGTTATATTGTAAAAAAAAAACTAAGTATATCTGAAGTTGATATTATTTTGATTTTAATATTTGAAAATTTGAACTTCTAACGCCATCTGTCATCTAAGCTTGAAACGAAACAAGAAGGAGCTTAGGGAACACGGTACATACGACACAGATAATACATATTATAATGATCGATAATCGAAAGAATTAATTTGAATTATTACATAAAAATCAGTTGACTCTGTGCTTGAAATGCATTAAGACAAATGTTCCGATTATAATTAATAATTTTACGCATATCTTTAGAGTACATAAAATTGCTACTCTAACATTCGGCATGTTCACAAGTGACAACTAAACACTTCAAAATGACTTTCTTAAGTCTGCTTCCTCTCCGATAGCCAAGCCATTTTTACCTACCTAAATACCTATGTATGATTGCGAAACAACACGCGAATTTTTATTATTATTTAATATTAAATTACACATTCAATTTACTCCTTGATTTTGACGATTATAAAAACATCACGTGTTATATCACAATTCGTGATATACCTAAATCAAAAGCGCGATGTCACAGAAGGGCTGCTAATAAATTGTTTTACTGTCTAATTTAGAAGTTGAATTTTCACAGTGAGGTACGCTAGTAGCAGTGAATAAAAACTGCGAATGAAATGCTATTAAAATATTGTTAAGCGCTAATCTTCTGAAAGACTTGTCTTGCATGTTTGTTAGTTTATATGAGTATGTTCGAGTCCTCATCCCCTCAAAGTTATTAGTTAAAAAAAGAGGGAAAATCTGTCAAATTAACATAAATTATTGGCAAACAGGCGGCGCACGATTCCTTTCAAGAAATGGCGTATTTGAAATAAATATATTTAAATATTAACTATGTATATAGTTAAGATCAGACGATTTGAATACGAAGTCTGTGAGTTAATGAACATTTACTTTTAGTATTACTGTTTGTTCACGCAGCCCCGTGGAATAATTTATGCCTATAAATCAGCAGCGGCAAGAATTACACGTCAACATCCATAACACATAACACATATTCACAAGCACAGAGCCACCCTTGCTTTATAATTGGCCCACCCTAACACCCCTGCCCCCAGAGCGCTTGGCAACAGTCAAAATCAGCTGGAGGCATTTCGCTACCATTGCGCAAACTCACATCTTTGCACCGGTATTTCTGTCTCCTTTACACTCGTATGTTATAATTTTCATCTCGCTCTTCGATGCAACTCCGCTATATTTGTCTTTGTTTGAATATTACGAAAAATACAATGTATTTTGATGTATTTTTTTACAGTATTAATAGCTAATTGTTTATGAAGGACTTTGCGTAAATTACAGTGATAGAATTTGTGTATTTTTATAGTTATTTACTGTTGAAAAAAGCCGGTCGTTTTGTTGTCAGGCGCGCACAGCTGTTTACGAATCGATGGTCCCTTCCCCTCCCCGCGGGTGGCCTTGCTCCCCAGCCTCTGTGCAATGCTACACACACATAAATGTGTATAGGTCAGTATAATAGGCCTGTTATTAAAAAGAGTTGCGCTTTGATAGTTACTAAATTGCATGCTGTCTTTTGTTTACAGTATGTACATTCAAATTTCAATTTAATTTGTCCCTATTGTGGCAAATACTTGTCTTTACATAACAACGATCAGCTGATAGGTTCTTGTGTACATTATACTGAAAAATAGTCCAAAACAAGAAAAATACCTATTTTTCCCCCCTACCTATACTGATAAACTTGAAAGGCTATATCAGCTTTACCTTAGCATGTAGGTGAGCTCTGGGGGCTCAAACCGGAGAGGTGTTGCTAACACTACCCCTAGCAAGAGCAGTACTTCGCAGAATCTACCACCGGAACGCGACTCACTGAGAAGATCTGGCGAGAAACTCAGTGGGCTGTATCTCGCAAACGAACTTGATCGGGACATAAAATTGCATGAGATTAAGTATGTCTGATAATGGTATCTAGGGAATACTTATCTCGCAGAAGCTCCTAGCATCTTTTTAACCAGACTCTGTATATTACTATATTATAATTTTGCGGGTTGGATTTTCCTACACGATGTTATTCCTTCACCGTGGAAGTCAGTCGAGAACATTTGCTTAGTACCTATGTATTTCATTAGAAAAATTGGTATCCGCCTGCAGTATTCGAACACCATTGCATCATGGCACTAAAGTAGTTCGGTTTGAAGGGTTAGGGGTTAAAGTATGAAATTGCCGATTTGTACTGAAAAATTGAAATTCGTTTTTTTCCCCATAAAACATATTTATTTAATCTAAATACCTATCTACTATTATTATGCCTTTGCTATAGAACTCCGGTGATCTAGTTTCTACAAACTGTGTGAAAGCATCTGGTACTGCCTTCTGGGAAGAAAACTTTTTATCACGTACAAAATTATCCAAATCACGAAAAAATTGTAGTCCGTTGGAGCAAGGTCTGGCGAATGCGGAGGATGACGAATGGTGTCTAATTGCAGTTCCTGTAGAGTTAAAACGGTTTCTCGTGCTGTATGAGGTCTCGCGTTATATTATGGAGCAATAATGGTGAAGATCGATTTATGAGTCGGGGCTGTTTCACTGCAAGTTTTGCGATTATTGTTTGGAGTTCGGCACAGTAGACATCTGCCGTTAGCGCTTGAACAGATCGAAGAAAGCTATAGTGAATAACACCATGCTGAGACCACTAAACAGTTACCATTACCTTTTAATTGGTAAGCTTTGCTTTAGGACACTGTTGCCGCGTTTGACCTGAGGTCAGCCATTGCATTTTTCGCTTACGGTTATCGTAAAGAATCCAGTTTTCATCAAATGTCACAATTCGATCCAATACCTATTCCTTCATTTCTGTATCAATTCAACAAAGCAACACAAGTTTCAACGCACGTTTCTTTCTGCAGATCAGCCAAATCATGAATTTTATTTTTTTATTTTATTGATTTGACGCAAGAAGGTCAATATTGTTGGTAGGGTAGGGTAAGGTGTTGGTTGGAAGGATCGGCTTCCACCACCTCTTTCAATTCATTGTTATTCACATATGTAGGCGGTCTTCCACGTGGTTCGTTCTTCAAATCAAAATTTCCATCACGAAAGCGTTTAAACCAAAATCGCACGGTGCGTTCGTTAGCAGCTCCCTCTCCAAGCGCAACATTGATATTGGGAGCTGTTTCTGCAGCGTTGGTTCCGCGTCGGAACTCGTATTCAAAAATTACTTGAATTTTCGAAGTATCCATCTTTCTTGTCTAAGCTGAATAAAAAAAAAACAACAAAGTCGATAATCGAATGTTGCGCATTTTTAAAAAGAAGAATCTCGTAGGTACCATTTGAAAAAAAAAACACTCAAAAATCTGAAACCATGAAGGTTCTGTGTCAATTCGAAGTACCTATTACAATAAAACGGCAATTTCATACTTTAACCCCTATTACGAGTATAAAAATTGAGCCTCAGTACGGTACCGTACTCATGATTGAAATTGGGTGGTGACATTGACGTTCTTGATGTCTGTGAAATCCGCCAACCACTTAACACCGGTAGGGTCGTGAGCTCGTCCACTCAACTAAACAAAAACCCTGGCTTAAATAATCCCGCTTCCGCGAAATGCTAGTCACTCTTCCTCCTCTGCTACACATTAACTTTTAAAACAAAACCCAAACCAACAAAATTGACATTATTGTCGCTTGACAGTTGACAATGACATTTTATTAACGTTCATTCGATTTGATTGAGAGTAGATTTGAGGCTCAAGAACCGAATGCAAATTGAAATCTATTTAGTATTCATGTCGTTCAAAACAATCAAATTACGAATAAAAGTCACAATAACATATTTTTAATACCGACTGTCTGTTATCTTTAAGCGATTACCTGTAGCTTTTACTTTGAAAACTTTGGTTTTTGTTCAGTTATGTGTTCTACGTGTGCATTCGTCGTGAACTGACTGAAGATTGCAGGATTTGAACTATGGAAGGAAACGCTGATGGCGACAGAGAAAGAGCCATGTAAGTTGTTTAATATCACATTAATCTGTGAGGTCAAGGATTTACAAACGTTTACACAATAAAAATAAGTCTGGGTTGTGCTGTTATGTTACGTTCACGAAGCAGAACTATTTACTGATAATTATAACTATAATCATTTGTCACGTTGGACTTAACAAACAGTTAAAAAAATTATTTTACATTACAAATATAATGTAGGCTTCAAAAGTATTTATGAATCAGGTAAGCCAAAAAATTGTGCTATACAACAATGTATGTCAATAAGTGTCACTACATATCTAATTTAAATAATTTTTGAAGATAGATTGGATATTTTTAATTTAAATAGTATTAAACCTTAAACTATTTACTTATATTTAGGTATGGTCAACTCATAACAGCATATTGTAATGTGGGTAGAGTTGTATGAATATCTTCTGTTTTGTACATTTTAAATGTTCCATGTTTAAATGTATTTAACATGCAAATAACTTTAAGAAATACACTGGACCTGGAATTAAATCTGAGAGTGTTACTACTGTAGCTGTGGGATTTTCAGTCCATATTGAAGTCAATTCATTAAATTGAATTGAAAGTACTTTATGCTTTATGAGTTTGAACTTCATTCTTACTAGATGATGACCGAGCTTTGCTCAGGCTTTTTTTTATAACGCCATCTTATTGTGTCTTTAAAGCAGTAAAAATAGTATTATTATTCGCCAATAGATGTCGGGAAAGTCATAAAGTTGATTATTGATAAAGTTGATAATTGAAAACACAAATAAAACAACATTTTCTGAAAATAAATTGTAGCCAGATTGATTTATCGTCCCCGAAATCCCCTGTATACTAAATTTTATGAAAATCGTTGGAGCCGTTTCCAAGATTCAGATTATATATACAAGAATTGCTCATTTAAAGGTATAAGATTAAATTTAAAGCAGTATTTAAACTATATCTCATTACATACAGTGCTATGCAAATATCAAGATAACTATATGCTTCACAATATAAATAGGTCAACAACATTAATATAATAATAATCACCTACGCTCAATAAATAGATATGTTTGTAAATTATTTAATTTGGATAAGAGAAATAGCGACACATATTATTGTACAGAAGGTTTAAAGCTCATGATTTGCACATTGATTAATATTTTTGATAGATACCATATTATGCAGCATATCAATAAAGTAAAATGAATACTGTGCATAAATAAGAAAGTACTTATTTAGCAAAATAATATCATTATAATTTCAATGTTAATGAGTACATTAACAATAGGTTAAGGATAAGTAACAAATCAGTCTGTCTCGTACGCAACAAATCATACTGCTATCTCAAATTTTATAAGCTTAAATATGTTACTTCTACATAATATACACAATAAATAAAAAGAAAATAATTGTATACACAATAATAATATTATTTTCCTACTTAATAACATGGAAATATTGTTTCAATTGTGCATTGGTGATGTTCATGAGTGTCAGTTATCACTCATCACCAGATGGGTGGGCCTTATGCTCTTTGTCCTCAATGGTGATAAAACAGTTCTTTCACCATTACTGTAATAGAAAATTACCATACCTTTAACATAACTACCATACAAATATGGTGGTTGTTATTCTTATTTTATTTTGTTGCCAACAGATTAGCAGTTGATAACGGAGCCGCAGAAGGTGATGGAGACAGAGGAAGGTATAGGTTAGTGTACTTTGCATTTTATTTGAGGCAAGGATAAGTCTCTGTCGGGATACTTATTGTTATTACACTACATGTTCTAATTTAAATTGGATTATAATAGCAACTGCAAACTTATTCTACATCTTGGAAAGCCGTAGCCTGTGGACCCTCAAGTGAGGAAAGGAATTAGTTGGAAGCTAAGAATAATCCGTAACAATATACTACACACAGAGTAAAAACTCAATTTTTTTTATGTTGTACAGAAACACCCAGTAAAACTGATAAAAATGACTTCTATTGCAGCATGATGGTACGTTGTGCATCACAGTCATCTCTAGATGAATCATCACAGCGGCCTGCCACCACTGAAAATACCATTGGAGGAGCTCAACATGCATCAAAGTTGCTTGAGGCCTTGGCGAGGTTGAGGCAAGATGCAACACTCTGTGATGTTCGGATACAGGTAAGATTATGTTTACAAAAGTAAAATTATAACATGCATTAGATTTGATGTTTCTTTTGAGTATATTATTTTGTTCATCTCATAAAAAGAAACCTTTGTGATGACAACATCGCGATTAGTTGTAAGAGGATGTAGTAATTAATATTTTAGTGATAGGTGAAAGTTTTTTGCTATTACTTGTACCTGGAATACTCTATTAACCCACTCAATAGTATTGAGTTTTACTGCAGCGATACAACGCGATAGCTACAGGTAATAGGGATGAACTCTGTTGGACCAGTTACCTCTAATTGACCAAACATAACATTAACATTTGTTGGACTTTTCAGGCCCAAGCGGAATGCGACAGCGAGCCATCCGAAGGCGTATGGGCTCATCGCGCGGTACTGGCGGCTTCATCGCCCTACTTCCACGCTATGTTCACACAGTTCGACGAAAGAACGCAACCCACTGTCACTATTCAGGTAAAATTAGCTTAATAATGCTGCACAAACCTTTCTTTATTTGCTTTTAATTAAAGGATTGTTAAGTGTGGGTTGTATAAAGACACACACACAATAAACTGATTTGTTACCCAACACATCTGCTTAAGATCATAATTAAATAATAAAACATAATACACAAAACATCAATGTGAACTTTAACAAAAACTGATGATGTTTCTACATTCAAGCATGGATGTGATCCTGACATGATAGAATATGTGTCTGTTTTATCGTAATCATGTGGGCATTGAAAATATCTTATATTCTCGGCAAGATATCTGACATATGTTTTCATTTTTAATTGTGAAGTATGTTCATTATTATTAACAGCAGACACATTGTAAGCTCTGTAAGCTATACATTACTAATGCTGTTAACTGCTGCATTTAGATGTCTATATTATCTGCAGATATCTTTGGTTTCAGAATGTAGAGCCCCAAGCTTTAGAAGCCATCATTGAATACATTTACAAACCAGACTCACTGGTCATCACCGAAGATAATGTACAGGTGACCATTTTATATGTAATCCATACTCGCTAATATTATATTTGCATTAAATGTTTTTTTTTTTGTTACGGTTAATACTGTAACATTCAACCTCATATGAAAGACAGACTGATACCTCATCTAATTGTGCAAGGTCATTGATCTTGCTGCTTAATCATTTATTATAAGTGTCCCATACCTTACCCTATTTAGTCTGGTGCCAAGCCACTGTGTAGTGACGTGGGGGTGTGTGTGGGGGACAGAGCGTGCTGTCGGCGGCGTCGCTGCTGCAGGCGGGCGGGGTGCGCGAGGCGTGCTGCTCGTTCCTGGCGAGCGTGCTGTCCCCGGACAACGCGCTCGGCATCCGCGCCTTCGCCGACCTGCACGTGTGCGCCGACCTCGCCGTCTGCGCCGCCAGATACCTCGACGCGCACTTCCTCGAGGTCTGTACATAGTCGCGCCCTAACAGATAACACGTCCGGTGCATTCGTATGTAGCGATGTACCGGCGTTCGAATCCCGCAGGCGGGTACTAATTTTTCTAATGAAATACGTACTTAACAAAAGTTCACGATTGACTTCCACGGTGAAGTAATAACAACATTATTGGTGGCAGGACCTCTTGTGAGTTCGCACGGGTAGGTAACACCACCCTGCCTTTTTTTTGCTTAAATGGGGGACGAGCTCATAGCCCGCCTGATGTTCAGTGGTCACTGGAGCCCATAGACATCTACAACGTAAATGCGCCACCCACCTTGAGATATTAGTTCTAAAGTCTCAATATAGTTACAACGGGTACCAGGCAGTTTTCTCAGGTCTCGAGGTGAGTGGCAACATTTACCTTGTAGTTGCCTATAGGTTCCATTAACCACTTAACACTGGGTGCCGTGAGTTGGTCCAAACATTGTGCGTACCGTGAAGTGTGTGTCACTAGTCTGATATCCTCCCTTGACACCGGCAATGACTCTGTTTGCTAATTTGTTTAAACAGGTTTCATCTATCGATGCAATAAAGATTTGTTTAATTCTAGGTGTTGGAAACAGAAGAGTTTTTGGCTTTAGCGCCGGACACACTCGCTCAACTACTGGACAGCGACCGCATCACTGTGAGTACCACTTCGATAAAACGGCACGACACGAAAACCCTCTCATCGTGGCCGCCGGTAACTACATTCCCGATCCTGCGGACAGAATGGAAAGCAGTCGACGTCGCCCAAAACACGTCATCTCGGATCCTCCCGATCCACTAACGGTGCTTTTAGGTACTTCAAGCACCGGTCACCGTTCTCGTCGAACCCGTCGCTTGCGACGAAGGGCTCGACGAGTAAATTAACNGCTTTTAGGTACTTCAAGCACCGGTCACCGTTCTCGTCGAACCCGTCGCTTGCGACGAAGGGCTCGACGAGTAAATTAACTCTCAGACACAGCCCACTGAGTTTCTCGCCGGATCTTCTCAGTGGGTCGCGTTTCCGATCCGGTGGTAGATTCTGCGAAGCACGGCTCTTGCTAGGGTTCGTGTTAGCAACGTCGTCAGGGCTCAAGCTCACCTACAAAAGTTAGGGTTACGCTGAAATAGCCTCTCAAGGCTCTCAGCTTAGGTAGGAAAAAAAAAACTGTGAGTATGGACTACAGCAATGTTATCTTTAAGTCTCAGTAAACTATGTATTTATGTAAACAATAAAATTCAATTTTAATAAATAGTTGTATAATGTATGGAATTAACCTTTACGATTTACGAACAGTTACGATTATTGACTAAAAGTAGCTAACGCAGAGAAAATCCAATACGAACAAAGATGGTGGTCTAAATTGTCCTTATACTATATTATTTTAATTTTGACAACTTATAGACAAATTAAGAATGACAGACATTACGCATAAGTGCCTATGGCAAGGTTATTAAGGCAGTTGAAGATTAAGTTAAATTTCATTAATTTATAATAGTTGTGCCTCGATCATTGCTTTAAAAAAAATAAAAACAATATTAAACATAGATACCATGACAACTCATGGCAGGTAATTCTGACCGGGTTTTGCTTAAATAATAAGTGTATTATCTATTTTGAACTGTTTTGTACGGTGAATGCACAGACTAGCCAGCGACCATGTGACCCAAGCCGGTCAAACAGTGTAGTCTAGAAAAAAGTCCATATAAAAAAATTGTGAGTGTGCAGTTGTGTATTTCAGCGAATGTATACTCAGTGAATTCGTGTTGTATTATTTTTCACACATTAAGTAGTTTTTGTTTGTTTTGAATAGAATAGTAGAATAGTTTGCAAACGAAAATTAAGTTATTTAAAAAAAAAGACATGACTCAAAGGTCTTAGTTACCAGGTCATAAAATCCCTTAAAAAAATATATAACAGTATAATTTAAAAATCTTGTATTTTCTAGGATATAAAGTTGTAATTTCCCAACAAAAGTTGAACTGTCTAGAATATAAGTTTTTATAGAGAGAAGGGCGAGTTTCTAAAAGCAGATATGCTTTAATATTACAGGTTCCAAACGAAGAAGTAATATTAGATGCAGTACTAAGATGGATGCAGCATGATGCCGAGGTACGTATGAGCAAGAGGCCGCGACGGTCAGACCTTCGTTATTTTATAAAAGCTGAAAGTTTCTCTGTGTATATCTCCAACACAGGTAAGAACGACCCGCGACTATAGAGTTTCGATTGTAGACAGGAAAATATAAAAAAAAATAACTTTATACTTTAACGAATTTAAGGTACTATTTTATATACCTTTACTGCCTGTTACCTGCCCAAGTAACCACAATCGAAACTCTATAGCCGCGGGTCGTTCTTACCTGTTTTGGAGACATACACAGAGAAACTTTCAGCTTTTATAAAATAACGAAGGTCTGGCTGGCCGTCGCGGGCTCTTGGTCTAGTATATTTATTCCATGAAACTTTTTATCTTTGATGACTGTTTAGTTACCCTAATTTGAATCATTCAATTATCGCCAGTCTCGTCAGCAACATTTGGGCATGCTGCTGGAGCACGTGCGGCTGCCGCTGCTGGCCCAGGATGCCCTGGTCGCGAGGGCTAACGCAGAACCATTGGCCAGCGCCGGGCTAAGGGTTAAGGTGAAATACGACTTTTGGTAGCTTTGCACTCCCTTAAATGATACCATCTTCAAGTAAATATGGTATTCTGGTTTTTTTTATTGCTTAGATGGGTGGACGACCACCTAATGTTAAGTGGTTACTGGAGCCCACGGACATCTACAACGTAAATGCGCCACCCACCTTGAGATATAAGCTCTAAGGTCTCAGTATAGTTACATCGGCTGCACCACTCTTCAAACCGAAACGCATTACTGCTTCACGGCAAAAATAGGCAGGGTGGTGGTACCTACCCGCGCGGACTCAGAAGTATTTACGCAAATTATAATTTTGCGGGTTTGATTTTTATTACACAATGTTATTCCTTTACGTGGACGTTAATCGTGAACATTTGTATTTTGTTGAGTTATTTCCAATTGTGAGTAAGGTATTGTGGTTTAATTTGTACAATTCAAAATGGAAATGGGAGATTAGGTAGTGTCTATCATTGCCCATTCACAACACCCTACCATGAAGGTGCTCAAGATAAGAATCTGGGATATTAAAACCACTAAGTAGAAAATAATTTATTGGAAAATCATGTTTATTTTTCTCATGATTTCTTCTCAGTACGGAGGCTAGTTGTGGGTGACTCACATGTATCTATTTATTTTATGTTATTTTATTATAATTACATTACACAACAACACATACATAATTTATTTTATATCAACACATTCATTTATCACACAATCATACAAAACATTATTTACACTAATCAAAATAAAATTCACAAACAAAGTCAGGCGATAACTGCAGTATAGCGCGGCGGCAATAATATTTCGCGAGTACATCGGTGCGTAGACGAACCGGTCGTCGCATTTTTACCGATCCACCGCCACCAGTCGAAATCTGACTTGCGAGCGCGCATCCCGTATCATCTTTTCTGTTCTACGCCTTTTATAATTTTTGCTTTTTGTTTCGTGTACCTGCTTGTGTTGCTTGCACTATCTATTTCTTGTGTACTTTCTCCTTCTTTGTATATTTTGTGTTCGTCTTAAATAAAAACTTTCTTTGTCTCCATTTGTGTTTGGAAAGACATTATAATTCAACCCAAGACGACTAAACTAGTTTTTGTAAATTGGCGTTAGTTCTTTTTGACGTTCAACAAGTATGTACTTTCATTTATGTTGACTAATTTTTTTGATTTGATTTGATTTGACTGATGGTCGAACCTCTTGTGAGTCCGCACGGGTAGGTACCACCGCCCCGCCTATTTCTGCCGTGAAGCAGTAATGCGTTTCGGTTTGAAGGGTGGGGTAGCCGTTATAACTATGCCGATATCTTAGAACTTAGATTTCAAGGTGGTTGGCGCATTTAAGTTGTAGATAGTCCAGTAACCAATTAACATCAGGTGTGCTGTGAGCTCGTCCAACCATCAAAGTAATCAATAAAAATGTAGGGTCATCTGAGCAAGATCGCTTATTCCAGGATCTGGTGATCGAGGCGCTGTCCTTCCACCTGATGCGGCCCGAGCACCGCGCCGCCGCCGCGCAGGCCAGCGCGCGCGCCCGGCCCCGACAGCCGCCGCGCTCGCCCAAGGTACTGCTCCCTCTGTTATATTATACATTAAACGAGCAATTCTTATATATATATATATATATATATATATACTAGCTGACCCGGCAAACATTGTTTTGCCATGTATGTTATCTCTAGGAAACATTTTTTTAGTTCAATAAAAATAAAAAATGTGTGCGTGTACTAGTGTACACACGTAAGAAGTGAAACTTCTTTATGGCCTTATTTTTCGAAAAATGATCTACATGCAACTTTCTAGAAATTGGTTAAATAAAGTTAAATTAGATAAAGTTTAAACAAAAGGATTTTATTATCATAGACATGAATACAAAAAAGTTAAATTAGATAAAGTTTAAACAAAAGGATTTTATTATCATAGACATGAATACAAAAAAGTTAAATTAGATAAAGTTTAAACAAAAGGATTTTATTATCATAGACATGAATACAAAAAAGATGGCGCGTAACGGAAAAATGTGACGCGTAACCGAAAAATGTGACGGTAAATTTTTTTCCAACGCCGATAAGGAAGTTTCACTTCAACTATCTACTATAAGTGTGCGGGGATATATTTATAATCGAAAGCGTTATAAAGAATAACAGTATGTTTTATTTAGGTTAATAAATAAATCTTTCTCAAAGTAACGAATATATATATTTTAAATTACAATCTTTGATAGCTATCTAAACATCAAAAATAATTATTCATATTTTTACTATCATTTATGGCAGTTGGCAGGAGCTTACAAAACGTGTTTATTTACATGAGATCACTTAATTAACTGAGAGTTAAAACTGTCTTTGTCAGATTAATAAATTGTAAATAAATAATAACTACACTGGAAATTAGTGATAATTTTACGGTGACAGTAAAATTAACATGAGAGTTGCACAGAAAAATTAAAATAATAGGTATAACAGTCACTGCTACGATTGATACACAAATAAAACCAGAAAAACATGGCTGAAAAATGTATAGTGAGTAAGACAGGAGACCGGCTTCGTCCTCATCCCTACTACGTGATGTTTGCTGGATGAGTGGTGACACCTGGCGGGGATAACTGATCGATTGATAGTTGATAGGCGGGAGATCTAATTGAATTTAAAAAAATATATAATTAAAGGAACTTGAAATTATAAACTCTGAATAAGAATTTATCGTACTACAATTATAATATTTGATTGCCATTTTGCAACCTTATTGCGGACCTGTGCATAGAATAAAAAAAAATCGGGCTGGAAAAATAGGGGTTGATGGTATAAGGGTGAAAATTGAGAGTAATATGAATTATTTTATTCTAAGTCATAACAAAATAAAAACAAAATTCTTGCAAAAAAAATTAAGGTTTTTAATTAACAAATAAAAAATAAGAATTGATCGTAGAGGAGTGAAAATTTAGGGTTGTATGTATTTTTCTATGCTGTATCATAAAAAAATAAAAACATTTTTTTTGTTAAAATTATAAAAAATAAATTTAGGGGTGGACCACCCTTGAGATTTAGGGGGATGAAAAATAGATGTTGTTTGATTCTCCACCCTGGCCGATATATGCACGCTAAGATTCACGAAAATCGGTCGCGCCGTTTCGGAGGAGTTCAATCACGCACCCCGTGACACGAGATTTTTATATATTAGATATGTCTATTCTGTATACTGCATGGCAATTTCTTAGGTAAAATAATATTTATTTTTCTTAAAAAGGATATAATGAGTAAATTTTGAATACCCTAATATTTTCAGATGCTGCTAGTAGTCGGCGGACAGGCACCGAAGGCCATCCGCGACGTGGAGGCCTACCATCTTGAGTGTGGTCGGTGGAGACCCTGCGCAGAACTACTCACGAGGAGGTGCAGGGCTGGCCTGGCCGTACTCCACGGGAAGGTCTATGCTATTGGTGGTTTTAATGGTGAGTTGCATATGTCAACTTGAGGGAACACTATCGACATTGGTTAGTAGTTTTTACATGACGCTGTGATGTCTTGAGTCCACTGTCTAAGGGTACACAGCTAGGTCGTATTACGAGTTCAATCTGTAGACTGGTGGTCGAACCTCTTGTGAGTCCGCACGGGTAGGTACCACCGCCTAGCCTGTTTCTGCCGTGAAGCAGTAATGCGTTTCGGTTTGAAGGGTGAGGCAGCCGTTGTAACTATACTGAGACCTTAGGACTTCTATCTCAAAGTGGGTGGCGCATTTACGTCGTACATGTCTATGGGCTTTAGGAACCACTTTATACCAGGTGGGCTGTGAGTTCATCCACGCACCTAAGCAATAAAAAAAAGTACATTTTGCACTTAAATTCCTGAAGGTCCTTTGTTTGGAATGTATTTTGTTTTTTGCTGTAGGCAGACGAACACGCGGCCAATTTGATGGTCAGTGGTAACCGTTGCCCATGGACTTCAGCAATGCCAGGGGCAGAGCCGCTTACCGCTTCATACTCTCCACAAGCCTCGTTTGAAGAAAGCCATGTCATAACGCTCAGGAAACCCAGTGGAGGGGAGCTCATTCCATAGTCGGATGGTACGTGGCACTGGATGCCCGCAGCGGCTCCAGGTAGTATGGCCACCGATAATGTATCTCTATTATTTCCCCGGCAGGCACCCTGCGCGTCCGCAGCGTGGACGTGTACGACGTGTGCGCGGACGCGTGGGCGAGCGGGCCCGCGCTCACGGCGCGCCGCTCCACGCTGGGGGTGGCCGTGCTGGGGAACCTCATCTACGCGGTCGGCGGGTACGTGCCGCACACAACGCTCCACTCTACACACACTACTACACTTCACTGCTACACTACTACACTACACTACACTACACTACACTACTACACTACTACACTGCTACACTACACTACACTGCTACACCTCACTACACTACTACACTGCTACACCTCACTACACTACTACACAGCTACACCTCACTACACTACTACACAGCTACACTACACTACACTACACTACTACACTACTACACTGTACTACACTACACTACACTGCTACATTACACTACACTACACTACACTACTACACTACACAGCTACACTACTACACGGTACTACACTACTACACGGTACTACACTACGCTACACTGCTACACTACTACACTGCTACACTACACTACACTGCTACACTACTACACTGTACTACACTACACTACACTACACTGCTACACTGCTACACTACACTACACTGCTACATTACACTACACTACACTACACTACTACACTACACAGCTACACTACTACACGGTACTACACTACACTACTACACTACTACACAGCTACACTACACTACACTACACTACTACACTACACTACTACACTACACTACACTACACTACACAGCTACACTACACTACACTACACTACACTACTACTACACTACACTGCTACATTACACTACACTACACTACTACACGGTACTACACTACACTGCTACACTACTACACTACTACACTGCTACACTACACTACACTGCTACACTACTACACTGCTACACCTCACTACACTACTACACAGCTACACTACACTACACTACCCTACTACACTGTACTACACTACACTACACTACTACACTACAACACTACACTACACTACACTACACTACACAGCTACACTACACTACACTACTACACTACACTACACTGCTACACTACTACACTATCAAAAAACCCCATACTGTCCCCATACGTAACCTGATTCACCCCAAAGCCAAGGTGAATCGGGTCAAGCTAGTTTTTTCAGTTTTTGTGTATATTTTGTGATGAATATTTTTAATAACACATCATTTAAAAAAAATTAAGCCTCCAGAACCAATGTAATTCCAATTTTACTGGTTTTTATTGTATGTAATATTACCCTAAGAAAAACCATTAAAAATTTGTGTTGGATTTGGAAAGGTTCCCAATTCCCCCCAATCTACAGTATTAAAAATTTTATGTTTATAAATAGTTTTTTTTATCAACTTCAAAATTTTACTCTTCGTTATTTTAAAAAAGAACTTCACATCCATGAATTTAATGCCCAGTCAATTGTAGCATTATGCAGCAGGCGTGTTTTATAATTAATTTGTTTGGGAAAAACAGTGTGCATGAAATTCTAAATTTCCTTTTAAAATAGTATATTAAAATTAAATTGGTATTTATGGGCAATCAGATTTGACGGAGCTACCGGCCTAAATTCGGCGGAGGTGATGGACCCTCGCGAGGGTGTCTGGAGAACTATCGCCTCCATGTCCACACGCCGATCCTCTGTAGGAGTCGCCGTGTTGGAGGGGAAACTGTATGCCGTCGGAGGGTACGATGGAGCTTCTAGACAGTGCTTGCAAACTGTCGAAAGGTATGTAAACCAACATGCTAGGCTTCACACAATTTAAGAAACAAAACTTGGAAATTAAAGTAGCAATCTCTACAATAATATTGAATTTTCATTTAAAAATAACTTAATTAAAACAACAGGTACGATCCGTGCTCGGATTCATGGGAGATGGTGGGCGAGATGTCGGCCCGTCGGTCCGGCTGCGGCGTGGGGGTGGTGGAGGGGGCGCTGTACGCGGTGGGGGGCCACGACGGGCCAGCCGTCCGCCGGTCCGTAGAGCGGTACCGTCCCGCCACGGGCTGGGCGCCCGCGCCCCCCATGCATACGGCGCGCAGAAACGCCGCCGTGGCCATGCACGCAGGGAAGTTGTATGTCGTGGGGGGCGACGACGGGGCTGCCAATTTGGATACAGTTGAGGTGCGCGTTATTCAAATATAAAATCAATTTGCCATTTATTGCTTTGAAATGTTAAGAAAGCAATTTTTAATTACTTTAAACGCTTAAGGAAATTTAATAATAAAATTCTGAATGTGAAACTATGAGTGCCGTCGGTCTGCAGTTCCATCCTTCAAGTGTGTCATGTATGTACCCAGGTGTTCGACCCGGCCACGGACACGTGGACCCTGCTGCCGGGCAGCATGTCCGTGGGCCGCTCGTACGCCGGCGTGGCCGTGGTGGAGCGAGCTGCCTGATGCCGCGCCCCGCCTCCCGCGCACGTGCTGCCCGAGCCCAGGTACCGCCCCCCCCAACCCCCGCGCCCTCCGCCCGCGTCCCCTCGTGTTGCTTCGGTTCCGATGATCTCTACAGTCCCCGTGTGCGTGTTGCAGCTACGCCAACGTGGCCATGTTCGGCAGCTCCGCGGGGGCGGGGACTCGCTGGAGGCCGGTCTACCTGCACAGGACCCTCAGGTCTGACGCCAACTCGGTGAGTTCATCATCAACAACTCTAACAATATTGAGTCTTAAACTGATCACTGATGCATAACAACTTGTGACCTGACGCGAGAATCGCAGATGTCGGCTACTGTCGTTTATGAGTAAAATATATTGGAATCTATCGCAGGATCAGGGTAGACCAGTAAAAAAAGCATTGTTGTTTATATTACAGGAGAATTTGTACGAAAGTGTTAACGTGGGGGGTGCGAATGGGGTCGGGGGAGTCGGCGGCTTGGGGGCTGTCGCGGGAACTAGCGGCCTGGGACCCGGGGGCGGCGTTAGCGGCCTGGGACCCGTGGGGGGAATGGGAGCCTATGTGTGGTGGAGGATGGGCGGATGTCGCAGACACGCTCGGGCCTCACAGACCTTGGAATTTAACGAGAGGGCGGTCGTCAGGATGCCACAACTTGACAATAATCAGAGTGAGTTATTTTTTATCAGTTTATTTGTTGAAGCTGATGTTACCGTTGCGACGTCCTGTCGTGTCAGTGGCCCCGTGGGGATAACGTACCATACACACATTCTTGATTCAGAGAATATTTGTTTTGATGCTCTGCGCTCCTTACGAGTTTGGTCTAGTGTATGACTTTTTGGCGGGAACGCGAGGAGTGAAGTTGTGTGATTTGTTTTATTTTATCTATTTAGTGTTTCTTTAGGTTTTAATGTGTAATAACGGTGGCTAATTAACTGTTTAATATCTGTGAAAGTGCACAAATGTGGGAAAATGAAACAAAGCCGCTGGACGTAACATCTATTTTACTGAGACTATATTTCATCCCATATCATCTCATCTAATTTCATCCCAGTTGATTAATGTCTCAAATTAATCATCTTCATTTCATATTATTAATTTTCATAAAAATAACAATATAAATTAAAATAAGACATGACCTAAAGGTCTTAGTTACCAGGTCATAAAATCCCATAAAAAAGGTGTAGTGTATAGAGAGCGCGCGGTTGGCAGGCACGATGCCGCGGGGCGCGGGGGGCGGCGCGGCGGGGGGTGCGGCGGGGGGCGCGGCGGGGGGCCGGGCGGCGCTGCGGGGCGCGGCGTCGTGCGGCGCCGTGGACGTGGAGCTGCCGTGCGTGGTGCTGGTGCAGCGCTGCGCCCCCACGCCCTACCACGTGCTGCCAGAGAGCCAGCGGGCGCACGCGCACCCCGCGCAGGTACGCCCCGTCTACAAACCACTCGCATAAATTCCATATCTATATATTAACACGTGAAACAAAAACTTTGTATCCCTTTTTACGAAAATCGCGCGGACGGAGGACTATGAAATTTCTCACACTTAGTAGTGAAGTTTCTCACTGGAGTAGTCCAAAATGTTAATAATTTTTTAAATTGTTCATATCAATAAAAAAAACATTACACACATTACCATGTATTTGACACACACACGCATGCATACTATTTGTTTATAGTCAAACTTTTCTTATTGCTAATAGTCTGTGGTCAAATAGAGAATAGATTAAATATTGTTTGTCTTTAATAATAGGTATTTGTCTAAAATGTCATCTTGATGTAATCTGTGATAATAAAAGTATAATAAGTCTTTGACAATACAGTCATAATAGTGTAAAAACTTATAATTTCAATTAATTATAGTCGAATATCGACTACCGGGGGAGCACTAGTCTTTGTAATTACTGGTAAATGTCGTGAAGTGAGAAACTGGCATTAATTATGAGTCGAACCTCCGCAGCCGTCAAACCGCGAGTGCTGCGAAGCGGACGCCCTCGAGCCCAGCTCCTCCAGCGAGTCGGCGGACGAGGAGCTCCCCCCGCGCCCCCGCGACCCCCCCGCGCGGGACAACGTGCGCGCCATCCAGCGGTTCAACCTCCTGGACAACCGGGAAGTCAGGTCCGACATCATCCGGGACATCGCCCGGGGCGTGGTGTACCGGGACAGCTCCCGGGACTGCATGCAGGAGGACTCCGACTCGTCCGACTAGGGGCTCACACAAAGTCAGCAAACGTGTTTTATTCCGTAGTGATACCTTAAACGTTCTAATTTAGTAATATATAGAGTGAATCTAAATTTTAAAAAAACTACATTTATTAAAATAGTTCTCAATAATTTCGTCTTCAAATTAGTTCCATTTTAAGTGTCAAGTGGACGCGTCGGAACTTACGCCAATATTTAGCCAGTTGTGCTAGCATTAATTTTAATCAAAAATCTAGGTGAAAGTTGACCAGGTAACGGCAGCGGTCGTCGCCCGCTGCGGGGCCAGGGACCGCAGCACATGTGCAGACCGTAAAGCGGATTTCAATGTTTTTTTTATATGTGTAGCCTTAAGACGATGACGTCATCACCGGGCAACTAGGCACTGTAATGTACCGAGCGCCACATTCGAACATTCCAGCTATATAAACTGATGCATTCCAATTGATATCTTATTACCTACTGAATAAAGAATAGAAAATTGTCAGGCGCAAATAGTGCAGGTCACGTCAATGTCATTGTTTGACGCCAATAAAACATCTTGTCAGTTAATGTTATATTTGTACTATCTGCACGCCTGTTGTAACTACAGCAGCGCGCGCCCTCGCCTGAAGCTCACTGGAAAGCTTTAAAGCGGAAAAAAATGATTGTAAGCGCTGCAGATATACCATGACGATTTACTTGTGTCATGCAACACTTGACTGACCCACGTCGCCTATCATTTAATTAACTGTTAATAATGGCGACATTAAAATATCTTAGCACCTAAATGAACTCAATTATAATTGATTGGTTAATAGGTAAAATTGCATTTTTTTAACGGTTTATTTAAGTTTTCCAAATTTGATCAAGATATTTGTAATTAGTTACCCTCCGCAGTTGTAGTTAACTCAATTAAGTCAATTTGTGTTTCAAACATACTTTTTAAGACTTTTCGAAACATTTGTATTTTGTATCTCGTCTATATCTCGTGTAAGTTTGTTGTTGTTAATTTGGATGCGTGGACCTGTCTATGTTCTAATAAATCTAAATATTTTTCTATGTTATGATTTAAGAGATGATTGTAATGATTGCGTAACATTGAATGTATATCTATTAGTGCCTGCGGACAGCGCCCAGCCCTGTTTGAATTCAGTCCAATCTGTACTATTTTTTGATTTATATATTTCATAAATTATCCAGTTCTCGTTTCATTAGCCCGTGTACATAATATAAACTTATTATAATTAAATTATAAGTATTAAACAAAACCCCAGCAACACGTTTTGTAACTATACTAGAATATCAAAAACGAATGATTCATTGTAGAAGTTTGTTATTTAAATGTTTATATTCTGCCAATATTTTAAGTTGAGAGAAAAGTAATAGAAAATGAAATTGTGGTCATTACCATCAGTGAAGATTCCTATTTCCCCCCTAACTAATCGTTGGTAGCCTCGAGGACTCTTTTCTTTTTTTTTTCAGCCCGGGCCCAAACCTCCCACGAGGTCCCCGCTCCTAGAGGGCGCGCGCGGTATGTGGGACTTGACGATCTGCAAGGTTTTTTTTTTTTTATTGCCTTTGTAGGCAGACGAGCATACGGCCCACCTGATGGTGAGTGGACCCATGGACGTCGCCCATGGACTTCAGCAATGCGAAGGGCAGAGCCAAGCCGCTGCCTACCGCTTAATACTCTCCACAAGCCTCGTTTGAAGGACATGTCATAGCGCTCGGGAAACACCGTGGAGGGGAGCACACACTTCTATTCCGCATGTTCCAGGCATCACCAAGACTCACCCCCAACAAGGAAGGGGAAAGCGAAGAAATAGATCTGGCTCTCCAACCCACACGCCGGAACACAGCTAGGCTATTTGTCTGCGGACTCTAGTTGGAGGGTGGTCACCAGCCAGTCGGACTACGTCCTACCACCGGTTTTGTTCTTGGCTCCCGTTTAGCACCACCCAGGGGTCACTTGTAGGGAAACGCGGGTTAAACCTACGGAAGCGAGAAGCACCAACCCCCTAAAGGTGTTGAGAGCAGACCGCGGACCCAAGGAATTTTAGGGCCCACCCACCAAACGACCCCTGCACTTTTACACCCGACGTCCGATCTCCGTCCAGGGTCAAAACCCGGTCGGAGTAGTTTTCTTCGAGGGGGGGTGGAGCAGCCACGGTGCCGGTCACCGTCGCGCTCCTCGGCTTGGTGCCTCTTTCGGGCTACCCTCGTCCAGGCAGCACGACAATTGGACAATACCCCGATGGTTGATCTCTGGGGCGCCCCTCCTTGGGGATGAGGACCAATCGACTCGTCTTCCATTCTTCCAGGAACCTGCCCTCTCGGAGGCACCTGCTGAGCAGTCATCGGAGAACAGGTCCCAGACCACCTTCCGTCTCTAGTGCCAGCGCCCAGACTCTAGTGGAGCGCGACCTCCCTACGACCTGGCCGAGCTCGTCGAGAAAGAACTCGAATTCGGTGAGCGGCTGGTTGAGGGAGAAGTACGCCCCGACGATGAGCAAGTCTGCCCAGAAGACTGCGACGTAGCCCCGACCCCTCTGCACGACGTCGAATTCGGGCGGAGCCCCCGCTGCCGAGCGACGCTGGACTATTGCCACCAGGCTGTCGATATCCCACGCCCAGTCGGGAACCGAAGGGACCCGGTAGGGCTCGGCCGACCGCTAGATGGGTCAACCGTTCCGCCATGCTCTGGATCAGCAGGTCCTGAGCTCTGGCGGAGTGATTGAGGTTCCCCTGAAGAATGTTGTACGGGCCGCTTGTCATGGCTGGTTGTCCATCGGTGTCGCCGTAGCCGTACCGGGCCGACTCCGCTGTTTTTCTTCTCTCTTCTCTGTTTCGGGAGCTTGGCGCAAGCCTTGCCCCCGGAGACGTGTGCAGTAGGCCTACCGGCGCTGGCGCAGATCGTGCAGTGCGGGGTGAGAGAGCAGCCCGCGGACTTGTGGTCCCTCTGGCCTCAACGGTAGCAGTCCCCACTGCGGTCCACCGATGATGGGTAGCGGGCACTCACGTGGCCCAGTTCGTGGCACCGGTCGCACTGCAGGCGCTTCGCCTCAAGGAGTCGTGTGCGAAGGACACTCCACCCGATCCGCAGCTTGTCGACGGCCAGTATTTTCTTTTTCTTTACGCCCGCTATGGGGCATCTCACCAGGACCTGCCCCATGCCTCCGAGGCCCTCTTTTATTTCACCGACCTTAACAGTGTCGGGGGGGGGGGGGGGGGCATTCTCCGATCCTGGCGACTTCAGTGCCAACCTCTTCTCGGCATATTGAATCGTCGAGGCCGCTTAATCTGACAGCGGCTGTTATTGTCGGCCACGACACGACGATGTCTTCGACGGGCAGGACCTCACGGAGTTTCTGTACCAGCAGGTCAGACTTTTCGTTTTGATCGACTCCGTCGATGACCAGGACCTTCGCTCCCGTTACCGCGGAGCGTATTCGCTGGATAGGTATGCCCAGGCTTGCGGGGTCAATTTTGGCCCTGGCCTCTGCGAGAACCGACCTGTACGTGTTGCCACGCTCTACGGCTGCAGTTTGATTATGACCGCCTGCGAACGCGGTGGCCGGAGCCGTTTCTTCTTCTCCTTCGAGGGGGGTGGAGCGGGCACGGTGCCGGTCGCCGTCGCCGTCCTCGGCTTGGCGCCTCTTCGGGCTACCGTCGTCCAGGCTTCCGTCAGGGCAGCTGGGGTGGGGGAGAATGTCCGTGGTCCAGGGGGAGCTTGCTGTTGTCTGTTTTTCGGCGCCTTCTTTTTCTTCTGCAGGCCGCCGTCGCGGCCGCAGCTGTTGGTGCGTGCGTCGGTATTGGTTCTGCTGCCGGTGGTGATGTCTGCGTCCTTTCTTTGGCGCGGCTCCTCTTCTGATCTGCGGCCAGCGGTGGCCTCAGTCTAGGCTCCGGTGGTAGTCGTGCTTCCATCCCTGCGAGGCGCGCGTCCAGCATCGTGCCATCGTGTACGCATGATGCGCTAGAGGCGCCGCCCTTCTTCGTCGCTCCGTGGGATCGGGGCGGGGGCCGCTACGGGGGCGGGGACGGCTGCCGGCGATCCCACGGCCTGGGCCAGGCGCGTCATCTCCGACCTCATGTCGGCGATCGCGTTCTTGAGGTGCAGGATCTCGGCCTCCTGTCTCCTGCAGAGCTCCTGCAGCCTCTTAGTTTCGCCGTCGGCAGTCCGTGCTGCCATATCTTCTTTGGCCTCTCGAATGGCGACGGCCATCTCCTTCAGGGCACGTTGGTACGTGCCCTTCAAGTTTCCAGGCTTAGCCGCGATTGTGAGCGCCATCTTCGCCCTCTCCTCGAGCCTGCGTTCTGGATCGGGTGTTGGGTCCTCGGTGCTGTATGCGGCAGGCGTCTCCCTCACCTGCAGCTTCCGGATGCTCTCCGTGACCTCTTTCTCAGAGCCAGAGCTTAAGATTAGGGTATTTTTTAGAGAGGTTTACGTCCTCGCGGCAGCGGCCCGCGACCTCCACGCGGTGAGGATGACGGGTTGGCCGGCGGCCCGCCGAGTGCAACGAGCAGCACGACAGACCACCGTCCGACGCTCGAGTGAGCACCAATCTACGAAGCCACGCCGGTAAACCGGTACCCCCCTCTGGAGGGCGTTCCTCTGTAGCTGTGCAGCCGGGGACATGGCGACCAGCAACCGGAAGAAGTGCAAACAACGCCGACTCGCTTTCTCGACGACGACAGGCAGACCAAGAGTGACTCGCCACCTTCGGTGGGTCACGCCGAAAAAAAGTTCGGACGTGGCCCCAAAACAAAAAAGATAAAAAACAAAAGAGAAATTAAAAACAATAAAACAAAAGAAGGCAAAACAAAACAACATAAAGGGGAAGAAGAAAGGGGAAACGAAGAGGCCCAGGCATCCCCAGAAGAAACACCCTTCATCCAGTGAAGGGCGTGGAGAGCCCGGAAACCCCCCCTTGCTGGTTTTGGTCCGCGTCGCTCAATCTCCCCCGCCGTAACACGACGAGAGAGAAGGAGCGATACCCCTGGGAGTGTAACTGCTCCCAGAGGCCCGTTATCCGCCACCTACGGACGCGCCCGGTGGAAGTCCAGCAAAACTCCCCCACAGACGGAGCCCCCGGCCACGTAGAGTGCGCGCCGGGGGGGCCGCCCAGGTCCCGGGGAGTATAGTACCCCTACCCTATCTTCTAATTACCTCCCACTTAAACTCTTACCAATTAGTTAACTCCAAACATTTTTCAATATTAGGCAACTATATTTTACTTTTTTTTATATTAATTTGCTATTCCTGTTCCATTCATTTTAATTCCCGCAACTACCAGAAAACATAAGCAGCACTAAAGTATACAGGATTAGTGGAATACTTCAATTATTTTTGGTAACGAAGCTCGTGAAAAGATTAAGATTTCTTTCATTATTCTAGTATAGTTACAAAATGCAAAAAGAAAAAGTAAATATGTACTAATGTTATAAATAAATCATTGATATGTTACTGAATCTATTAAATCTATTGAATTTATTAAAACAACCAGTAGGAAAAGTAGCACGCGAAATATAAAATTATTTCTAAAAAATAGTTGACTTCTGCATTACACATAAGATGCAGTAAAGCACCAGTAAACAATTGTAAAGAAATTTTGAGATTATAATTATAGTATCTAAGCAGTTGAATTGTTCATAAGTTGTTCTTCACGAATAATTAATCAGGAGGCAATTTTTAAAATATTACTAAATAATATAATCGCGTCATTTCTGGTAAAATAAATTTTAATACTACAACTTTGATATCGGCCAATACAGTAAAAATTGCCTCTGAATTACTCATTGAATTTTAAAGAAACTTAGTGATATTGGATTTGCAGTAGCTATTATTGAATCTAATATTTATTAATATATTACTAGTAAATAAAATGTAGCCAAATGAACAAATAAATGTGATTTTTATTACAAGGTAGTTTTTATGTTGTATTGCTCCAACCTATTACTACGTTTATTATTTATTCATATGCTAATACTCTTCCAATGCTTGAGCCAACATGCTGCAAATAAAGGGTCAATGGTAGCCTCGACGTTGGGCATCTCACGTGGGTATAGCCGATAATCGCCGCCGCCTTACACAACTCCAAAGAAAAGTCGCCATTCTTTCAAGGTTTTATTTTTGATGAGGAGGCTGTAATGGAACGGACTCCTGTGCGCAGCAATGTTCTTTGGTATTAGCGTAACAGGAAAGTGCTTACTGTATTGGCAATGTACAGTGCACAATGATAGACGCTGGTGCGGAACATTATCTGTTCTGCAGTCATTGTATTGTAACTTTTTTTTTATTGTTTAGATGGGTGGACGAGCTCACAGCCCACCTGGTGTTTAGTGGTTACTGGAGCCCATAGACATCTACAACGTAAATGCGCCACCCACCTTGAGATAAAAGTTCTAAGGTCTAAGTATAGTTACAACGGCTGCCCCACCCTTAAAACCGAAACGCATCACTGCTTCACGGCTGAAATGGGCAGGGTGGTGGTACCTACCGGTGCGGCCTCACAAGAGGTCCTACCAGCAGTAACTTGCAGCAGACCAGCTCTCAAAGGCCACGTTCAAATTAGACTTGAATCCGATTCACCTCAGCAGGTCGGCTGAAATTCGTATCGCTCTGATCAGTTTTCCATCTGATCAGTCTGCGCTTTCCGCTACAACCTCGGAGCCGGCCAATCATAGCGCCGTACTGTACAGTTTAGAATTAGTTCAGTTGGCGCGCGCTCGCCGTTCGGACTAGGCGTGTGTGTTAAACTCGTTAATTTCACGATCCACATGTGTTTACGTGTTGTGAAGTGCATAGTGCAGTGAAATTCTTAAAGTTTCATTGTAAGTTAATATATTTTTATTTGTAGTTCAAATACAACCGTGGTCCGTATTAAAAGAAATAATCATTTAAATCTATAATAATTTAGTAATCATTTAATACTCATCGTAATTTTAAAGAATTAAAGAATTAACTACCCACTTTTTGTCTAAAAATAAAAATAATGAATCTTATGGCATTAATATTTCGAAGTATGTTCAATATTACTTAAGTGCCTAGCTACGTAATCACGTACTAACGTTTATCGCTTACATTGCAACAACTGCATATCACAATACTTTCATTTGTTTATTTTATATATTTTTTACGCTTTACTCTACAAAGAAAATGAAATGGCAAGATTCTAAACAGCTTATACCAAGGCGAACTTAACTGATTCGTTAGTCATTCGTCAGCAAACCAGACTGTTAAATTTAATTCTAATAAATTCTAGTTAATTCGTAAAATTTTTAGTTGATTCGGCAGGGTCTTCTTATAAATCACTGCAGGCGATTACAAATCTATGTAAACATAAATTTGAACATTATAGGTTGTGAAGTGCTGAGCCAAACTCATAAATACCTACCAAAACACTTCGAGCACGAGATATTAGCCCGAAATTTCAATTGTAAAAACAGAATTCGAAACAGACATTACGCACGCTTGTTTCCAAATAAATTGGTTAAAAGCGGCTTTAAAACAAAACACATTATATACCTACGTAAAAAAACCTTTCTCTTGTTTTTTGTTTAATAAAGCAAAATACCGTATTAACCTTCAAATGTACTGTAATAATTTTGCTGTTCTCGTTTATAATATTTTGCGCAGTTTACATTTGTACAGCACAAACTGTTTGTTGAAGATTCTATACATTCTTCGTTACTTGCATTTTTTGCGTACGGTGTTTTGTACCGTTAAAATTACATTATGAAGTGGGTTCATAACTCATTTGCTACTAGCCACTACTCCAAGTTACGGGTTTGAATGGAAGAATATCATTATACATAAATGTGTTAATAGGAAAGGTCATAACAGAGGATTTTTCTCAATACCTAGTAGTCTTAGAAGACAGAGAATGTGACTGAGGTGTTTTCCCCCATAATGTTACAACTTAGTCATCATATGTCCCGAGCAATGGTATTGGCCTATCCTGCCGTCCATGACCACGAGACCTATATTTTAAGCGTGGGAAATATTATTAATGATAAATTATGTTTTTTTTTTTGCTTAGATGGGCGGAGGAGCTCACAGCTCACCTGGTGTTAAGTGGTTACTGGAGCCCATAGACATCAACAACGTAAATGCGTCACTAACCTTGAGATATGAGTTCTAAGGTCTCAAGTCCTCGTATAGTTACAACGGCTGCCCCAAACTTCAAACCGAAACGCATTACTGCTTCACGGAAAAAATAGTCAGGGTGGTGGTACCTGCCTGCGCGGACTCACAAGACGTCCTACCACCAGTAATTACGCAAATTATAATTTTGCGGGTTTGATTTTTATTACACAATGTTCCTTCCTTCACCGTGGAAGTCAATCGTGAACATTTATTGAGTACGTTTTTCATTAAAAAAATTGGTACCCGCCTGCGGGATTCGAACACCGGTGCATCTCTCAACATGAATACACCGGACGTCTTATCCTTTAGGCCACGACGACTTCATAACCGATGACATTAGGTATAACCGACCCTGCTGGCTTAGTAATTGCGTTTAAAACGTCGTTTGGAAGCTACAGGTTAATAAACTTCTACAAATGGTCATGTCATTCTCATAAGTAAACAAACCGCCAGGTCCGGCTATCTGTTACATGTTAGATATGTATCAAACTGCAGAAAATGCAATTATAGTGCAGCATCGTACAAAATGACAGATCAGTATTCGAGATCAAGTAACGCACGTGTATTTACTGAGGTGTGCTTAACAACATCTTTATATCACAAAAACTCTACCAAGAAACCATAACACAGAGTTTATTATTTTTTATTGTGTAAGTACGTGAACAGGTTCATGGACCACGCGGTGTTAAGCGGCTAACGAGGCCCATAGGCATCATCAGTGTGAATGACCACCTCGAAACATCAAGTCTCAGGCCCAATCATAGTGCTATTTTTTTTTTTTTTTTTTTTTTATTGCTTAGATGGATGGACGAGCTCACAGCCCACCTGGTGTTAAGTGGTTACTGGAGCCCATAGACATCTACAACGTAAATGCGCCACCCACCTCGAGATATAAGTTCTAAGATCCCAGTATAGTTACAACGGCTACCCCACCCTTCGAACCGAAACGCATTACTGCTTCACGGCGGAAATAGGCGGNACAACGGCTACCCCACCCTTCGAACCGAAACGCATTACTGCTTCACGGCGGAAATAGGCGGGGTGGTGGTACCTACCCGTGCGGACTCCCAAGAGGTCCTACCACCAGTGATTACGCAAATTATAATTTTGCGGGTTTGATTTTTATTACACGATGTTATTCCTTCACCGTGGAAGTCAATCGTGAACATTTGTTGAGTGCGTATTTCATTAGAAAAATTGGTACCCGCCTGCGGGTTTCGAACACCGGTGCATCGCTTCAACACGAATGCACCGGACGTCTTATCCGTTAGGCCACAACGACTTCAATACCATGAGATCATGATACCGACGACTTACAATAAGGCTGTACCACCAGTTAACCCCGACGGGTAGGTACCATAGTCCTGCCTATTTCTGCCGTGAAGCAATAATGCGTTTAGATTTGGGGCAGCCGCTGTAACTATAAAAAACTGAGACTTAGGGCTCCTTTCTTAAAGTGGGTGGCGATGCTAACACCACCACTTAACATCGGGTAGGCCGAGAGTTCGTCTACCCATCTAAGCAAAAAACATAAAAATTTGGTGGTGTTATTCCAGACCGACACCACGTGACAAAGACCTTACTATTATCGGATTTTAGTTCTTATATTTCATCTCAAGTAAAAAAGCATTTGGCTCACCTATGGACCACCAGTGATGGGTCTCAGCCGCTCGCCGGCTTGAACCCATGCCTGGGACACAGTCATGCCGCGACTCAATTCGATCACATCGATCATTCAGTTTCAAGTCAAATCATAATCAGGATGGAAATCGTCTCAGTATTTTGTGCATGATACCAACCACAAGCAAATACTCATATTTGAAAATAATATCTTGTGTTAATTACACCAAATCTTTTTGATTGAGCACTTGAGCGTACATCCATATTTCTGTTACAATCTATATATATAAAAACGAATTGCTATTCGTTAGTCTTGCTAAAACTCGAGAACGGCTGGACCGATTTGGATAATTTTGGTCTTGAATTATTTGTGGAAGTCCAGAGAAGGTTTAAAAGGTAGACAAATATGAAAATGCTCGGAATTAATTAAAAATAACAATTTTGTTTTTCCTGTGATGTGTTCCCCGTTGGACGGATTCATTAAAATTTTGTTTGTTTAAAGTTTATTTTATACAAAAGTTTAGGTCTTTTATTTCTCGATTGAGGCACTACGAAGTCTGCCGGGTCAACTAGTCTACAATAATATTCAGATGTATCTGACATAAGATTGTGTAACAGGTGTCGTGAGATGAAGTGTCCCAAGTATCCGCGTGTATGGGTATGAGGAAGTTCATGCGCACGCGGGGCGCTCAGCCACACGCGCTCACACATCTTCATCATAACGGACAGACCGCCCTGCCGAAGACCAACGGCCATGCCAGTAAGTCTTACATACATTTTTAATACGCTTTTATTAGCTTCAGACGTACGTATGTTAGGTATTAAATGGTTAATACGGGATCCTACAGCATGTCGCCAGGTGGGGGCGGAGCGCGGTGCGCGTGCGCTCGGCGTGGGGCGCCGCGAACGGAACGAAAGTGTCGCCACGGTGGATCTTCTCAGTGGATCGCGATTCCGATCCGGTGGTAGATTCTGCAAAGCACTGCTCTTGCTAGAGCATTTAAAATATTTCACAATGCGGGTTATTTGCTTATTAATACGCTTTTAATAGCTTCAGACGTATGTATGTAACGGAATCTTTGAACATGATTTTGACCCTCTTCAAATCGTCGGATTAACTCGAAATTTGGTATACTTATTAAGGATCGATGACAATTCAATATATAAAAAAATATTGAAAAAATTTAAATTCAATTAAAAAATAGAAAATAAATTTGAATTAAAAATAGTGTAAAAAAATATTTTATTGTAAAAAAAGCGTGGGGTGCATGGTATTAGTAGTTATAAATATTTTATGAATAGATATGAGTAGAAGGGTTATTTGATAATATCATGAAAAACACCCCACGTTTTTTTACAATAAAATAATTTTTCTTACACTATTTTTAATTGAAATTTATTTGGGATATAGGTTGGATTTTCTATAAAAGCGTATTTTGTTAGTTTTTTTTAAACTATTAATTTTTAACTAACAATAAATACGTGGAGAGGACAAATACAGAACAAAAACATGTTGAATGAACAATTTGAGTATTAAGCAATTTCTATGGTGCAGTCCATAAGCAAATGGCCAATGATACTAAGTGGTTATGGAATCCGCAAATACCATGAAGTTAGTGCTACCTCCTATCTGAAATACGAGGTGGATGTTTCTTTAAAAAAAAGAAGAAGAAAGAAGAAGAAAGAAAGAAAGAAATCCTTTATTCGCCAAGCATAGTGAAAATGAGTTATTACATAAATTAAAAGCAGCGTGTATGCTTTGTCATTATTTGACATGCGAATTTTAGTGCAGTGCATAGTTATAATATTATATAATTTACCATTCATTCATCCATAATTCAACTAATAATTAAAAATCCATTTATTTTCAATGTCATCCCCAAGAAAATCATTCACGTGAAAGCTCTTGGGTTGGTCGTTTTTTGAGAGAGAGTTTTTTAAGAAACATTTACCTACATAAAAAAAAAATTGATATTTCGAACGCTGTTTGAATGACCTTCTGTTGCGAATGCTCTACGGTTATTATATGCTAAATAAGAAGAAAACACTCTTATTATTTCCCAGCCATACTATCATACGGATCCCACAAGAAAGTCACATACGAAAAAAAATATTGTTTCAAAACATTCTAATTACGCCTCAATCTAAACCTCTAATTACGTTGAATACTCCACATTCTGAATCCACAATAGACAGTGAAAGTATACAGAAACTCGACCGTGTCTCGATAAGAATCACATCGGATTCACGACCTTACGACCGGCCTCCGAAAATGAGAGTAAAAGATGTTGTATACGTGCAAAGATTACCGGACCGGACCGGACCGCAGCCGGCGGACGACATAGGATGAATAAATTCCATTAAGTATCGCAACTTATAGTACTTATACAAAATAAAAACATAACTCCTAACATGAGTATTTTCAAAATTGTTTACATTCTGTACTGTCACTCATAGCTACTAGAATGATTACGTATGGCTCTATAAAAAATATAAAAAAATAAAAAATATGGGTAATATAAAAAAAAATTATACCCATGCCCGCATATGGAGGAGTGAAAGGCCATTGTGGTTTAAGCGACATTTTTGCTACATTACAGGAAAACCATTTAAAGTTTAAAATTTGAAAATAATGTCGTAATAAAAATAAATAAAATACTTCGGCTGTTTGAGTAGGGTTAACTGAAGTTCGATTAAAAACATCGAATAAAACGAACCTTTAATTACAAAGATAAATGTCGAATATTATTATTATGATTTATTGCTTAGATACGTGGACGAGCTCACATCCCACCTGGTGTTAAGTGGTTACTGGAGCCCACAGACGTAAATGCCGCCACCCACCTTGAGATATGAGTTCTAAGTTCTCAGTATAATTATTAACCGAAATGTTTTCACCCCTCGATATTACGTACGTCACGGCCAAATAAACAAAGCCACATATTAATTTAGTATAATCTATAAGATCTTACAGAGTTAACGGTTTATGTAATTAATCATAGTATTGTAACACAAGTGTACCGCAAACTGTATTAGATTGAGTTGCATTGCAGCGGCAGACAAACAGGTTTTGATCCTGGTCTAGACTTAAAAACTAGCAAAAGACGTAAATTGTTAACGAACGACAGGTGAAGAAAGTTGCGAATTATCATAGTTCAGTAAATCGGAGTTTAAATAAATAGCACTAAAATGTATTTGTTACAGTTTGTGGAACGTAAGTAGCTTGATGCGCGGAACCGTTAACGGACTGAATTAGAGTTCGTCTCCTTTAGAAAAAAAAGATTAGCGAACCATTTAAATAAATAAGTGGTCCGTTGGTAGTCGACATTCGAGTATAATAATTTGAAATTTTAAGTTAGTACACTATTATGGTTCTATTGTCGAAGACTACTTCTTAATCTCAGATTTTGGCCAAGACTACACTTTACCCAAATATTAATAAAGACAAACAATATTCATCTATTCTCAATTTGACCACAGACTATACGAAACAGACGCAATAAGAAAAGTTTGACAATAAAAAAATAATATGGATGCGTGTGTGTGTTAAATACATGTTAGTGTGTGTAATGTTTTTTTATTGATTTAATGCACATATTTTTTATGCATAATTAAAAAAAAAAACATATTGCGCTCCTTCTCTTAATTCTCTATAAGTGTGGGAAATTTCATACTCCTCCGTCCGCGCAATTTCCGTAAAAAGGCGTACAAAGTTTTTGCTTCACGTATTAATATATAGATATCTCCTTTTTTCGTCTCGTGACGGAACTGCAATTATTTTTAGTTTCACTGTTGGACATGGTCACTGAGGACACTCGTGTGTGTGGCGGCATCTTATCGCTTCTTCTATGAAACAATCTCGTTCTTGTTTGCATGTTAATAATAGTCATGAAAATACACAATTGAGGCGCCAGGTTGCGTGGCGAGACTAGTGTTGCCTTAACCGTGGGCTCCGGCACCTGCTTAACAACAGGTGGGCGGACTCTCTCGCCGGTCGACAGTTGAACTGCCCATTTAAAGCATTGAGAAAAATTGGAACTTTGACTCCATTAAAATATAAAGTATCCGTCTTTTTGTAACCACAATACTCTATTCCCTCCCAGCCATTAGACCGCGGTTGTGCGCGGTCTTCTTATTGATGCAGCCAGAGAGTCACGACCCTCAGTAATGAGGAGATCGACGTAAGGAAGAGGAGGAAGGCATGGTCTTCAATTTTTCTAAAAGACTTGTCTTTTAACCTCAATAAACTACAGAAGCGAGTATAATTAGAATAATTGACGGATATATAATAGCTTTAATAATAAATGTACATTAAATATGTATGGATTAAAGTACTTATAACTTAGGCTTAACTTATAACCTAATAATTTAGGCTACTTTTTGTAGACTAGCCTCGCCTGCGGCGTTTCCCGCGGTTATTGTCCTACCGCGGGACTCAGCTATCAATAATAAAATTTAATGTTTCCGAAGCGAGGGCGGGTCGCTAATCTTAAATAATAAAACAGTGATTTGGATTTCTTTGCTTTGCCTCAACCAAAACCATCTTTTCGCTTAATCCATACGAATCTAAATAGGCTTAATTATTTGAAATCAGAAGTCGATATAAATTGTAATTAATCCATGATTACCGTTTAGCTAAAGGCTCAGCACGAGATCCGTAAGTGAACGAGGATATGAAGTGAATGGTAACCCGTAGTAGTAACCGTCCTACATGTAGGCCACGCTACCGTTGCTACACGCTTTACGACTCTTACACAGTTTAATATAGTTCACATTGTTATTATTTAAATAAAAAAACTCTTGTTATTTTACACATAAATTAAAAACAAAAGAAACAAAAAATTACAATAAAAGAATTGAGAAATACTTTAACACAATCCGCTAATATGGTGATTGCATTGCTGAAGTCCATGGGCCACGGTAACCACTCACCATCAGGTGGGCCGTATGCTCGTCTGCCTACACGAGCAATAAAAAAAACCGCGGATTGCTGAGAGATTGTTAAGACTAGAATATGCTCAATGCTATTATTAATGCTCAATTCAGCTACAGCGTAAGAGTAAGATAGTCAGAGCATCCTTCCTACTTCGAAGAAGAGGTCAGTCGTTAGTGCAAGACTACGACCTCATGATCACCTCAAGATTATTTTTTTCCTACCTAAGCTGATAGCCTTGAGAGGCTATTTCAGCGTAACCTTAACTAGTAGGTGAGCTCACGGGGCTCAAACCTGACGACGTTGCTAACACGGACCCTAGCAAGAGCCGTGCTTCACAGAATCCACCACCGGATCGGAAACGCGACCCACTGAGAAGATCCGACGAGAAACTCAGTGGGCTGTGTCTGTGTGTTAATTTACTTCTTCGCAAGCGACGGGTTCGACGAGAACGATGACCGGAATACCTCAAGCAGTTGATAATGTTACGTATAATGTGTATGCACGTGTTGTCTGCGTGGTCCGACTCAAATATGCGGTCTCCGACTCCAGCGGTCAACAGAGACTTAATAAAATAGATAGTAAACTCCTAAAAACAGCGAGCAATATTTACAAACAAAACGGACACAAATAAACTTGTATTTATAACATCATTCTGTGTGTTTTATATCTAGCGCATGCCGCCGCGTCGCCGGTACCGTTCTCTTTAAACTGTCACTAGTATGTGATCTGAGTACAGGAGCGAATCGAAACAGAAGTATTAGTTCCACAATTAACTATATTAAAATTTATATAGATAAAAATGAATTGCCGTTCGTTAGTCTCGC